TCTCTCTCTCTCTCTCTCTCTCTCTCTCTCTCTGTCCCCCTCTCTCACTTTCTCTTTAAAAAAAAAAGAAAAAAAAATTCTAGTTTCACCTTCAAAAACTACAGAAAGAAGAGTAATTTAAGGATAAATCAAGCAGAAAGGAAATAAGAAAAATTAAAGCAGTAATCATGAAAATAAAACCATGAAATCAATACAGAAAGTCAACAAAACCAAAAACTGGTTCTTTGAAAAGATCAATATAATTAATAAACCTCTAGTCAGGCTAACAAGGGGGAAGAGAGAAGACACAAATTTTGCTAATATTGGAAGTAAAAGAGGAGTCATCACTACTGATCCCTGGAATAGTAAAAGGATAATAAAAGAATATGATGAACAACTTTAGGTTCACAAATCTGGGAACTTAGATGAAGCCAATCCTTCTTCCCAGGGTACATCATTGTTGTTATCTGCTGTTGTTATTGTTATTTTGCCATTTGTTTGTTTGTTTGTTTAGTCACTTGCAAGGACTTTCTGTAAAGTCATGATTCTTTGATAGGTGTGGCCATTGAAGTCTCTAGTCAGTTTACTTAGTGGTCAGCTAGTGATTGTTCAGAGATTTCCTTAAACATCTTCAACCAGTAAGTCTCCCAGCCTCTTCAAAGAGAGGCTATATGAGTTTGGAGCATGCCTTCAATGTTCCAGCAGGCAGTTTACAACCCTGCCTTAGTTTTTCTTCTGTGCAGACAGAGGTGAGAGATTAGGACCTTCTAAGGTCTTTCCTGGGCATGTACATAGCCTTTCTCTTACACTTGGCCCTTTGAGATTCCCAATAATATGTGAGAACTTTTCAAAATCCCATATGGTATATCTCATATCCATTTTGCTTTTTTTTGGGGGGGGGTCAGTCTGTTGTAAGCCCCAATTATTGCCGTCATGGGCAGCTATGACTACTGCCACTACCACTGACTATTTTCAACAAACCCCCTAAGAATATGGCTATTTATAGAATGAGCTTTGAGTCAGGTCAAATGAACATAAGCTTGGAATGAAACTTTTAGGGAACTATGAGATAAATTAAATAATGATAATTCTTCAAGGATGGAGCCTCAGGGAAATCCAAACCCATTATCTCCCCTCCAGTAATTATTAAGCAACCAGTTGTTATGGCTACTGAGTTTAAAGGTTGTGGATTTTCAAGACAAAACTAGGAAGAAGCTGGGACAAAGAGGATAAAATAGAGCAAGTAATCTCTAGTTTTCTTAAGTAAACATACCCTGGGCTGTTTCAAGCCTTTATTTAATTTTCTAGAGCTCTGTAAAAGTTGATATTGACCATTTTTTCCTAGTGTTCTCATTGCCTTTTATGGAGGAGCATGTTTGGAGCAGCCTTTATTCTGTTATTCTGCAAGTGTTAATCTCTAAACTCACATTTTGCTGGTAAAGAAACTGAGAAAGGTGACTTGTCCAAATTAATGAAGAGTTGTGGTTTGGATCTTAAATGTGCCCCCAAAGGCTTATGTGTTGTCCCCAGTAGGTGACACCACTGAGAGGAGGTTGGACTCTTTAAGAGGTGGGGCCCAGTAAAAGGAAGTTAGGTCATTGGGGTTCTCCTTAGGGGAAATACTGGGACCCTACACTCCTCCTCTTTCTATTTTCCTACCAGCTGTCATGAGGTGAGCAGTTTCCTCCAACACGTGTGTCTGCCATACATGATATACTGTCTCACCACAGGCCTAAAAGCAAGTAAGCCAAGCAATCATGGACCGAAACCTTTGAAACTGTGAATCAAATAATTCTTTTCTCCTTTTAAGTTGATTTGTCTCAGGTATTTGTTACAGCAATGGGAAGCTGACTGATACACAAAAACAGTGGAAGGATCTGAAAGGACAAAACCTAGTCCTTCTGCACACTGCCCAGACTCTGGCTTTTCTGTCCTTCATTTCTCAGGCTCCAAAGAATTATGGGTTAAAAATTACTCAAAAGCAGGATAGAAATTATTTCAAAAAGCCCAGAAAAGGAAATAATTTCCCCCCCCCATGTGTATATTAATATTTAACAATGGCTTATGTGTCAACCCCAGGCCTAACATTGGGAGGCTCACAGGAAGGGAAATGAAGATAAACAAACATTAGTGACAGTTTAAAAAACAAAAGGTATCAGAAAGAAGCTGGGATTGAGTGCTGAGTTCAGGACAGAGAGATGCCTTCCCAGCTGACTCATATGTCACTAAGCTCCTGTATGGAGGGAAAACAATGAATAATGTCACATATACTGGGCCCTCCAGCAACATTTCCACCACATTGGATTCCCAGCACCAGCTGGAGCTACTTTGCAACTGAAGTGAGTCACTACTGATGTCAACACAGGCCCTGAGTAGGGGCTTTGCCTCAACATTCCCCCCACAGAAGCAGCAGATCCCAGAGTCTATCTAATCAAAGGCTGCCAGCTCTGAAAACAAAGAAAAAGCCCTTGTCAGGGAACTCCTCCAAAAGTGCCTTCCCTTGCTCCTCCATTCTCTCATTCCACTTGTAGATCAGCTCTTGACAGAAGTGGCTGTTGATCTCCTGAGCAGTGATGTGTTCCTGAGGCTGGAGCATGGCATTTATGAAATTGGGAACCTCTACCACAAGAAAAAGAAAAAAAAACAAGGGCAACAGGGTAACTAACAAAGTTGCTTCATTTAAGCATCTAATCCTGCGGCCTGGATGACAAGTTAAGAGAAAGGTGAGGGGGGACACACTATTCTTGGTGTCTCCTGTCTGCTAAACTTCTGACTATAACCAAAGTGAAAGAATATTAAGTGAAGTTCACTGAAAAGCCTTAAAATAATAATAAAAATAATAAAAAATAATAATAAAAAGGCTTAAAACTCTTAGGTTTAAAATAATACTTCCATTCCACTTAAAAGATTGTGTTTGGTGCTATGTATGTTTTAGAGACCATATCTTTGTGCCGCAGTCTGGCTGGGCAAAATAATCTTGAGGGTGACAAGCAACTTGTGAAGATTGATACATCGGGAGCCGCTTTATTGCAGGACAGCAGAGGTATATATACTTAACTAATTACACACAGCTTATCTTAATTAACAAACTAGATACAGCAGTCAACCAATAAGGAATCCTCATCATCTTAATGATTACACACAACTTAACTTAATTGACATAATCTAGACACAGCAGTCAGTCATTAAGGAATCTCTATCATCTTAATGGCTTGCTGGCGTTACTTCTCAAACCAAACCACTCCTCTTGGCAAAGTGCCAGGCGCCATCTTAACTTGGTTGTGGTCCTCATCATCTTTGTATAGTCCATGCACAGTTTTAACTTGATTCACACTTTTTTTCATAAAAGAAATGTTACATGATTACATTTCTTAATCATTTTGATTCCACTACCCAAAACATGGCGTTTCTTTTTTTAAACTAATTTTTTGTTTTAATTAGTTATACATGACAGTAGAATGCATTTTGATACATCATATATAATGGAGAATAATTTCTCATTCTTTTGGTTATACATGATATAGAATTATATATGTACATAGGGTAAAAGTGTCTGATTCATTCTACTATCCTTTCTATCCCCATACCCACTCCCCTCCCTTCATTCTCCTCTACTTAAAGTACTCTCCTCTTCCTTAGCTCCCCACATTGATATGCATCAGCATATCAGAAAACATTTGGCCTTTGGTGTTTGGGTATTGGTTTATTTCACTTAGGGTGATATTTTCCAGTTCATTTACCAGCAAATGTCATAATTTCATTTAAGGCTGAGTGATATTCCAATACACACACACACACACACACACACACACACACATTTTTTTATTCATTCATCTACTGAAGGGCACCTAGGTTTGTTGCATAGTTTAGATATTGTGAGTTGATCTTCTATGAACATTAATATGGCTGCATCACTGTAATATGCTGATTTTTAAGTCCTTTGGGTATAAAACAAGAAGCAGGATAGCTGGGTCAAATGGTAGTTCCATTCCAAGTTTTCTGAGGAACCATACCACTTCCATAATAGTTGTACCAATTTGCATTCTCACCAGCAATGTATGAGTAGGCCTTTTTCCCCACGTCCTGGCCAACATTTATTGTTATTTGTATTCTTGATAACTGCCATTTTGACCCAGGGAAATAAAATCTTAGAGTAGTTCTGATTTGCATTTCTCTAATTGCTAAAGATGTTGAACATTTTTTCATATATTTGTTGATCAATTGTATTTCTTCTGTGAAGTGTGTGTTCAGTTCCTTAGCCCATTTATTGATTGGGTTATTTGGGTTTTTAGTGTTAAGTATTTTGAGTCCTTTATATATCCTGGAGATTAATGCTCTATCTGAGGTGCATGTGATAAAGATTTTCTCCCATTCAGTAGGCTCTCTCTTCATGTTATTGGTTGTTTCCTTTGCTAAGAGGAAGCTTTTTAGTTTGAATCCATCCCATTCATTGATTCTTGATTTTCCTTCTTATACTTTAGGGGTCTTGTTAAGGAAGTCAGAGCCTAAGCCAACATATTGAAGATTTGGGCCTACTTTTTCTTCTACTAGGTGCAGGGTCTCTGATCTAGGGCCTAACTCTTTGATCCACTTTTAGTTGAGTTTTGTGCAGGTTGAGAGATAGGAGTTTAATTTCATTTTGTTATATGCGTATATCCAACTTTTTCAGCACCATAGAGAAAAATAGGCTATCTTTTCTCTAGTGAATCCAAAAACATTTCAATAAACATTTACCTGTTTTATAAATTTTATACACTTACCATTTTCATTATTTCTCCACTTCCTATTTCTCTCTCTTGGGTAAATATTTCATGAGATGAGGACACTGGTCCTAGAGGGGAGAGACAACACACTCCACTATTTCAGAAGCTGAGTTGGCACTGGCCACTTACTTCCACAAGATTCTAGAGGGGGAGGGGTGAAGAGAGGGGAGGAGAATGTTCCAGAGTTCCGTGGCAGCTTGCTCAAAAAGCCTAGTAAACATCTGTCTCACCTTTCTCCTGTTGGGGGGCTGAGATCCTCTGAGACCTGACAAGTCACTTGGCTCCCCTTGATGGTCCACAGCAAAAGGCCTGTCCTAGGCATACAGTGACACCATCACAACATGGCCACACTCATTCAGTAATAATGCAGGATAGAATGATCTTGGCAGTGCCCCATAAGAATTCCACAAGCATTCTAGGTTCAGTGTGCATACCGGTAATCCCAGCTCCTCCAGACACTCAGACAGGAGGGTCACAAGTTTTGCTCCATCATTTCTCAAAAGTGTCAAGTCGATCAAGAGGCCAGTGGATTTGGATCCCTTCCTCTCCCTGACAGCTGATTCATGGGGCCTGCTGCTGAACCCTCTGAAGCTTCACCCTGAACTGCAATCTTGGAATTAGTCCTGATCAATACCCCTCTCCATTCTTAGAAGATTCAAAAAGAATACTCATTAGCTGAAGTATCTCATTCAATGACATCTAAATCTGCCAATTTTATTTTTAGAGCCCTACATGACACCTGTCCTTGGTACACCCAGATGCCTGTGGGTGATGTCTTTGTTCCTCATCTCAACAGAAGGCAAGGCCACTCACCTGGGAGCTGCTATGGCTGAAGATGACAGAGCTGAGGTCGCCACAGTTATAGAGTATAATGAGATGGTTCACGATATAGGTCATCTGAGATCTGACAAGTCACTTGGCTCCACTTGATGGTCGACAGCAAAAGGCCTGTCCTAGGCTGCCTGCTCACAGGCTCTTCTGCTGCAGGAGGGTCTGGTCCAAAGCAAATATAACCTGAAGGATGAGAGAAAACACAACTCCCTTTTAAGTTCAACGACAAGGCAACTGTTTGCTTATTTCTCTTGTCCACAGCTGGCAATAGCCTCATCTCTCATTATACAAGGATTCTGTTGCTAAAAAAGAGAGCACAAATCCCTGGCTGGTGCCCAAAGAAAAGGAGGCCTAAATCAGCCCCAATCAGATCACATCTGGGAAAGAGTTCTAAGAGAAACACAGACAACCTGGAACTCTTCCATGAGAGCTACATGGAGGTAAGGAGACCCAAGAGCTGGCCTGTGGGAAATGACTGGAAAATCTAGGAGGTGGGAAAGAGAGCAGACTAGGAACACACAGACAGGCCTAAATACCAGTAGGTTCCAAATACATGTAGGACTGCACAAGAACCTATCGATATACACACATCTTTTCTAACCATCAGTGCAGTATTCCAGTTAATGAATTCACTAGATTCAATGGTGGTTTAATGAAAGTTAATGTTAAAAAAAAAGGAAAAGAGAGCTAAATGAAATTTGCCAAGTTTTATTTATATGGAATTTATCAGAGTCTTTGATACACTAATGAGCAACATAGTTCTTCCTGAGTGGGAAAAGAGCATGCTTACTTGAGTAATACATCACAAGATCATCTATGATGAGAAATCAAGATTCAAGGAATTTTGCTAAACAAGGAATTCTGTCTGACACTGGAGAGCTACAGGAAAGGGCGTCTGACATCATGTGAGATATTCCCTAAAAGATTATGGACAACACTTAAGATCCTGTGGAATTTTCTATCACCTTTTCCCAGAAATGGATATAGATATATAATCTCTGACAGCTACTTTTCCATCTGCTTCTCAAGTAATCAGTGTATAAGATGCTGTCTTTGCTGGGACATTTTCTCCTTTGCACAAATGTTCTCAGTCCATCAAAGCACTCTGACCAAGAGGTCTTCATTAAGACAATTTCAACTCTCCAGGGACAGCACAAAGGTCTCATGTCAACAAAACACCCTCATTAGTCCCAGCAACCCGCCCCCCTTTTAAAATATGTTTTAGTTACTGATGGACATACTACCTTTATTTATTTATTGTTATGTGGTGCTGAGAATCAAATCCAGTGCCTCACACATGCTAGGCAAGTGCTCCACCACTGATCCACAAGACCAGCTCCCCCGCCTCGGCCCCCCCCCTTTTCCTCTTTCACACACTGTCCTCCTCATTTTCATGGGAAAAACAAAAAGATGTGTTGATTTGCTCCCCACAGGCCATTGTGGCATGGGCCTATCTGCACACATGAGTCTTGTCTTAGTATGTTTGTGCTGCTACAACAAAATCCCTAAACTGTGTGGTATATAGACATTCATAAAATCCAAGATGAAGGCACCAGTTAGTATTTGGTCTGATGAGCGCGCTCTTGCTGTGTCTTTGCATGGCAGAGGCAGAAAGGCCTGCCAGCCAGTGCTGTAGGAAACCTCTTTTATAAGAGGTTTAATGCCCTTCCTGAAGGAGAAGGCCTTGTGACCTGTTCCTCTTTTAAGGTCCCCACCTCTCAATACCATCACATTGGCAACACCTGGAGTTTGGAAAGGACACATTCAAACCATAGCACCTCCTTACTTCCACATTCCTTCAGTTATTCTAACTTTCTTCTTCCTGTCATGCAGTCTTAACCAAAGACAGATGCTTTTTAAAATCCCCTCCCCTCCTCTCTTTTCTGATATTTCTCCTGCTCTTGCATAGGCACCTTCAGCCTCTCCTGGGAGGCATTTTCCCCAGGGCCTGAAGACCAGCTCTTCTATCTAGGCCATAGCATATTCCTACCCTCCCAGTCCTTTATTTGTGACAAGCCCAGAGCTGAGCTGATGGCCCGTCCAGCTGGTCATTAGTGGTCACAGCCCAGATAAAGAAGGAAATACACTCACAATTTGCAAATTATAGTATAAGTGAGGCAATTCAGGCTTCCACAGTTATGAGCCCTGCAGTTTATGACAATCAGGACCTACCCCAAACCATGGGGAATTGCTGACTTTAGATTACCTAAAGGAAAAACCTTTGGAGGGGAGGATGAGAGGCATTATGAAGCACCTGTCAGGTGTGCCTAGCCTCAGGCCAAGTTTTCACACATTCTTTCTCAATAGATCTCAGGCTATCTTCTCTCAAAGTTGTTTTTTTTTAAGAGGAGAGAGAGAGAGAGAGAATTTTTTTAATATTTATTTTTTTTAGTTATTGGCGGACACAACATCACACAACATCGTTGTTTGTATGTGGTGCTGAGGATCGAACCCGTGCCGCACAGACGCCACAGCTTGAGCCACATCCCCAGCCCTCTCTCAAAGTTTTAATAGCTCACAAATACCTGCATATGGGCTTTGCTATTCTCCTAAAGGCATTCAGAACAAACTCAGGTGACCTATTGCTAATAGACCTTCTTCCAAGGGTATTCATCAATTTTTTTCAAAAAATTTCTTGGTATTTAGAGCCATTTATTCTAACAGACTTGCCATTCTGCAAACAAAGGAGAGAGAGATAATGTATGGCCCACATCAGATATTAATCAAATAAAAAAGAATTTTGTTTATGCAGCCCATTCTCAACACACTCAAATGTCAAATTCATTTTAAAGACATTTCACCTTATCATGAAGGGTTTACAACACTTATGATTTAAGCTTTAAAGAAGTTTGTATCCCAGAACAAAGCTAATAACATTAATAATTTTCTGAGTGTTTCTGACTCATATCAGGACCATGCTATGTGCTTAGCTTAGGTTCTCATTTATCTTTTCAATATCCTAAAAATAATTTTTAAAAACTATTGTTTTTTAATCATATTTTAAAGATGAAGAAAATGCTGAGCCTGGTGGCAATGCCTATTAATTCGGCTATCTGGGAAGCTGAGGCAGGAGGATTCCAACTCAAGGCCAACCTGGGAAACTTAGTGAAACTCTAAGTTTTTAAAATATTTAGACTATAACTTGCCTCTAATCTTTGTATCTTTTATTTTTTGGAACTGAAAGAATTCTCATCATCCATTATGCTATGTTGGATGTTCTTGATGATACTTGGTCTCTCAATCACTGAGTTTCCAGAATCCTAGAGAAACCCAGGATTACTATTGGACTTTTGCTTCCCACTGCAGTTATAGGTCAGTAGTAGAGCTCTTGCCCAGCCATGTGTGGAGCCCTGGGCTCAATTCCCAAGATGAAAAAAAAAAAAGTAAGAAAAAGAAATCAAACAACTTGTTCAGGTAATATAGGCTGGTAAACCAAAACAGAGTTTGACCACAGTCTAATGCCAGAGCCAAATCTTCACCTATGTTGCATATGAGGGTATGTTGCTACCACTTAGCACTAATTGGTTTTTGGTATATGATCTAATTTAAATTACAAGGCTTAATCTAAGGGCCTATAAGCCTGGAACTAGGAGCCCTCAGAGCAGTTCTCTTTGACCTCTATCAAAAGTCAGCCTTGGTGGGCTGGGATTGTGGCTCAATGGTAGAGTGCTTGCCTAGCATGTGTGAGGCACTGAGTTCAATTCTTAGCATCACATATAAATAAATAAATAAAGGTCCATTGACACCCTTGCCCAACTCTGGTTACCATCTATATTATTGAGACATCATCTGCTGATCTTCCTTCTTTTGTATGCTTATATTGTTATTAGGACATTAAAATAGTTGATGGGAATTTAGTGCATTATAATAATTCAAGATATCAAACACTTTGTTATTCAGAATTACAGACAGTCCCTGGTGGAAAGTGGACATCAGATTGGTAATCTGGCTAATGGTGCTCATTAATTGCAATTCTCTGATCCTACTGTCCTCAAGGACCAGAAGACCTGGGAACATTAGTCAATGGGAAGTAGGTGGGGGTGGGAAGCAAAAGTCTAATAGTAATCCTGGGTTTCTCTAGGATTCTGGAAACTGAGTGATTGAGAGACCAAGTATTATCAAGAACATCCAACATAGCATAATGGATGATGAGAATTCTTTCAGTTCTAAAAAATAAAAGATACAAAGAATAGAGGCTAGTTATAGTCTAAATGATCCTGAAGTCCATTCATTCATTCATTCTCCATCCAATCATTCAGTCAATACATAGTGACTGCATGCTTACTCTTCTAAGCATTGAAGATAAAGTCATGGATGAGAAAGACAAGATCCTTGTCCTTAGGGAACCTCCATTTTACCTGGAAGAGGGTATTATCAAGAAGAATCTGAGAAAAAAATGTTTTTCCTTAGAACATTTTGGAAAGAGGGTAAGAGGCAGAGGCCCAAAGTTAAACACTTGCTCTGTGATCTCAGATTTGCCATCAAATCAAAACACTCCATCATTCTAGGACAAGGGATGCCATTGCTACTTTGCCTTGGCAGAGAAGTCACCTTGGGTCATGAGCACAGTCTGGAGGCCATATTTAGAAACACATGTATTTTAAAGACATTTGAAGAGTAGATCTCAGAAACCCACAGCTTCCTCAGAAACCCACAGCAGCATCTCTGAAGGTCCCCTTTCTGGCATGACTAACAGCTGTTGGTCATTTATATGTGATTTACTTTCCTTGCTGTGCTAGGCCAAGTCTGAGCAAGTCTGACAAATTTTGGGTTTAAGGGTGTGACTTGCAGATAAGTAAATTCATCAGGGGGTAAAAAAAACTCTATTTAGTTTAAGTTGCCCAGAACCATTCTAGATGGGATGTCTTCACTGACCTAGTCTCCTAGGCACTACAGGATCAAGAAAAGTGGACACAACTGGGACACAAGGACTATTCCTGGAAAGCCAAAAATAGAGGACAGTAGGTGACCAGAGGGCAGACGAGGTCAGAAAGTTCTGGCTGAGTCTGCCCACCTTCCTCTACTTGTTCACTGCCCCTCTCCTCCTTCCTAACCAACCTCAACCACCCCCCTTTTCTACATTCAATTCTTTCCTTTACAGTTTCCACTAAGGCTTCCTTCCTCACATGTTTCATGAGGTTCCTAGGGACACTGTAATAAAGTACCTCAAACTCAGTCACTTA